CAGAAATCAAACAAATATATGTTTGATAGGGAGAAGTCATTAGGACAAACAATAACACCTAAAATTATTTAAAACATTGTAAAAATCTATATTCGTTGATAGAATAAATAAGTATAAATATTAAGTAAAATCTAAACAACATAGTATGACAAATGATTGTAATATATTTATATGAAGCCGTGTATATAATTACGATTTTATATCTTATGTACTTCTATACAACAAATGTTTATATACTAAAACAACGATAACTGATAATAAATAATAGATATTAGTGAAATGTTTACTTCAAGAGTAAAGTGAACATAAATACATCAATAGTTCACAGCAAAAGTATATATCACAACAAATTAATGTTAAATATTTAAAAATAAAAATCACAGACTGTTCTCAGAACATTCCTATAGTCTGACACTAAAATAAAACAAGATAAATCTCTTAAAAATAGATCGTTTTTTATTTACGTTCCGCTATAATTCTATAAAACTGTTACGTCTGGAAATAAGATCCTCTTGGCCAGCGAGCCAAATGGCTGGCCTCTTGATCTTGGCCAGCCAGCAGACCATCTGAATCACTTCTCAAACAGTTTGTCATAATGTCTATTATTGTTAAGACAAAATACCTAAAATTATATCTTTTTCATTCCACACACACATACCTTATATGTATACAAATACATATATGAATATGTATGATAAAAAATATAATAATATAATAAATATTGATATATAATAATGCATTTTGCTGTCATTTATATTTATAACAATGTTGATTTCCCTAATACTTATCAAAGTATAAATTTGAACGTCCAACTTAGTTCTCAACTCGTCACAATTCTCTCGGTATGATTAAAAACTTCGAAACCCTCAGTTTCCAATACGTATACGACGGGTCAATACTAAAACAAAAAGGACGCTTAAAATACAATTAGCTGCTTATAAAGGTTTCCATATAAAACGACGCTCTGGAAGATTGCTTTAATTAATTGATGTTCCGATTGGACTTGGAGTTTTATAACGTCTATATAAAATAAAAACGACAAAAACATATTTAACATTTCTAAATGGATCTAATGATTATAATTAAATAACATTGTCCGTAACATGAATCGCTAGAGTTTCATATATTATAATGGCCACGATATGTGTAGGAATTAAAGGCGAATACTAAAAGCCGGCACAATCGATTGCCGATCTAGAGACTGAACCGGTTGTGTGCGTGTGTGTGTGTGTGTGTGAACGGATGCGGTCTGAGTCGTATTTACTGAGAAGTATCGGCCTAACTATGGTCGTGCCGCTTGAGATGTTTTTGTAAAGATAGACCCATAAATTAATTGCTATTCAGTATGTAGAGTCGATTATATTTCTTACAATAGAAATGTCAGCTTTGATCATCATTTACATTACGCGATGCTCGGAAATTCAATGATAATAATATTATTACTGTTTCAAGAAAACATCCTTCCAACATAACGATTATAAAATACTTTTTTTTTAATATATTAAATTTCTAATAATCATTAAGTTTAGTTAGTTTATAATATTTTTATTTAATTTTATAGTGAAGGAAAACTTTTTAATATACACATATATTATGTATATATTCTAGAAACATATAAATTATTATTTATTAATCTGCCGGCGGAACGTACGGCGCGGTGCTGCGTTCATAGGTCACGGCCGTTTAAAAGATTTTTATATGAATTTCTGCTACCTATCAGGTTAATGTATTGATTGTATCTACTAATTTAAAATTATAATTATATTGTTATAGATCGATTCCATACTAGTAAAAGATTAAATATGGTAAACGTATTTTATTAGAATGGCAAATGCGAGATCGCAAGGAGAAGCGAAATACCGCACACAAACTTATATGTATAAAGAATTTATTAAATTTGTTATAAATATAGACACTTGTAAACATGATATGTATGTATGGATTTTTATTACACTTGAACACGTAAACCAACGAATGGAATTTTTCACGACATTCAGATGAATCAAAAAAACTTAATTTGTTTATTAATATTTGAGCCATTACAACATATTTAGTCATAAATTACGTAACAGATATTGATGGAATAATTTAAGCTATAAATGTGTTATGACAAACATTCTCGATATATTACGTTTTTTTATAATTTACATAATAATAGTTAAATTATGAGATATACTGAGATGTGATGTACCATAATCAATGTGATTTTCTAAATATAATTGATTCTACATGCGTACTGTAATACAATGTAAACTATACGACGCATTGCGACTTGTATTCATCATGTGATACATACAAACATATATATATGTATACTGTCTTTGTTCATGACAAATCTTTACCTCAATGAGAGTTTATTAATTATTATACATTTTATCTAATATATGTTATTTGGAACAGAAAATATACACATAATTATTATAATGATATAAATAGAGTCATTATCACTCTGTATTAATGATTGTTAGATAAGACAACTAATATAGAAGTCCTGGTTATAGCAAGGTTGATGTGTCAAATATATGTATATGAATTATGTAATAAAAGATATAGAGATATTGAGTATCTACATAGAAACATATACTCAACAGGAAATTATATTAAAGAATATGAATATAATGTTTAGCAATTATTAATTTTATATAGAAATATATTTAAAATGATATAGCTGCATCTTGTATTCATTAAAATAACAAAAGCATCTATATAAAAGAAATGTACTGTATTTTAATACAATAAGAGAAAAAAAAAAAAACAACATTTTTGTTTCATTAAAAAGAAAAATTAAATTTTGATACAATAAAGTCCTGTTTCAAATCTTCTAAAGGCAAAACTTTCATTTGTTATATGAACATAATAGCATTGTTTCAGAGTCCAAGCCCAACTTCAATAAAGATATTATTGAGAGTCAACTTTTTTCTTCCAAACAAAACTTGAAAAAGAAACGCCAAGACAAAATCCAAATAGGTAAATAATGGAAGGCTCAAGTTTGAAATTAAATCCATTCAAAGTTGGCGGTGAGGGAGTCACTAATTTAACTTTTCCATACAACATGTGAAACAATGTTTGGTGTGGTATAACAGGGAACTAATTAAACATGCATTTCATGAACAATCATGTTATAGTTAACATACTATGATGAAAAAAATTATCATTAAATACAGTAAATTATTTGTTTATCTTAAGACTTGAGAGGCATCATTTTATCTTTTTATTTATATTAATATACTTGGTGTCATTTTACTTGTATTATCAATTTAATTATTTTAACAATATCATTCAACACTGATAAGAATTTTGTTTCATTTAAACATGGTTCATAATGTACATGATAAAGTCTAACTGGTGTTATCCAAATTATTGATATAATTATAATTATGTAACTATATTATATATGTACGTACATGTTGATGGTTGATGTGAATTAATTTACATATAAAAGGTAACTCAATCACCTGTGACTCAAGCAGGTTTCCTTGAACACAATAAAAATGCAGAGATAGGGATTTCACATATATAATTTATGCCTTGTTATAAGCAGATAAGTTTAATGTATGCGTTAAATCGAATTTTTTATTTCAATACTCGTAACACTTGGTAATACTTTAACAATCGAAAATTATGTGAACGTAAATTTATATTTTGTTGTTATGCAGATCGTAAATGACTTTTTGGTATGTCAAGTAACACGCTAACTGTACGTTCTTATTACATACATGAGAATAAAACTTTCAAATTTAAAGTTTTATTTCACGATAAATGATAATTCTAAAGTTAATGTGGGCCAAGAGAGAACATATAATACGAATCCAACTGTAATATATAACATAATAAGCGCAATAGTTTAACAAATACGAACATTTGAAATGCACAAACTTTCTAATATAAGTAGGTCAACGTCCCGACATCAATCAGGAAAACCGCGTGGACATGAGTATGCACTTTGCAATAACTCGGTAGTTTCTAGAAATGGTTCTCGCGACTTAGCGGCCGCGAATTCGTGACGCGGCTAAGCGTCGGCCAACGTACCGAAGCCGGGGACCTCAAGTCTACTCGATGCGACATCAACTACAGCCACCGCGAACACGCTAGCGAAATCTGGCAAGCTACGATAGCTTATGTTGATGTTGTATCTCAAATACGTTATAAACTGAACCCTTCACATATCATATTTAGCTTAACTAACATACAAAAACTTACCTATTTTATGCCGAATCCAACAACAAAGAATAACCAGCCACGCGCTCCAATTACAGGGCACTCACAAATCACGAAAGCACTTGATACAGGAGCAAAATTATGTCACTTATACGTCTATCTAATTAATAATTGGTTTTGAGAGTCTTTATAACGAAGTTTTCCAGTTTTTCCACGCAATAAACACTTAGCCGGGAAAGCGAACCCTGAATCACCGCCAGCTACGTACAAAATGGCGGATTCGCGTAATGAAAGTGACGCGGTGACGCGCCGACAAAGTCATAGACAGCTTTACTTTCATTGCTCTATGGACAGAGAAAAGATGAAACTAGTAAAACTTAAAAAAATATGTCTTAAACAATTCTATTTTTTTTATTATAATGATTAATTTTAATAATCTCTAAACTAAATTAAAAAACATTGAATAACATTACAACAATATATGATTTTTGTGTAATATTGTATACTCTTTGATATCCTTTTATAAAGTACACAGACTATTTATTTCACAGATTACAGAAGTGAATTTCAATCACACGTATTCATTTAGACAATTAATCATATTTTATGTTTATGAGGAATTCGAGTTTTTACCTTTAAAAATATTATTAATTATTAAATAAAGGTTGGAAAAATAACACACTATTAATATCCAGCAAGTCCTAACAAAGTTTCATAACATCGTTAATGTTGGATATGTGATCTAGTAGTCAACAATCAAATCAGCTGAGTTTTGTTTTCGTTGTTTGGTGTCCATAATTAGAGGCGTATACCCACATTAAAAAGATTTTTTTGCGGTCATTATGAACGAAATAAAATCGTTAGAACACGCTACACTGAAGGTAACATTATTATTTTTATAAAGTCCGTTAATATATATTAATTTTAGAAGTGTTTATTAATACTTATATTCATGACGTAGAATTTAACTATTATAGTTAAATTCTTCGTAGTATTAATTAAAGTCAAAATACTTATCGTATGATAACCATTTATTCTACATTCGGTTATCGTTTTTTAAGATTTCTTTAATTTAATAATCCATATGGTTTTTATACTGTGTTCAAAGACTACTCAAAACTGTGATGCAACAAAAAATTTTAAGACTGTCAATAAACAGTATTTTACTTAATTGGGCTATAAAAACCTTAATCCGTACTAGCCTTGATATATTTAATTAATTCTACAGCAATAAATAACTGTTTTTAACATAATGTCTTTTCATTACTACAAAATATAACTCTTCTATTAAGTTGTTATAATGAATGAATTTAATGTGCTTAATATTCCACACATTTTCAAAATTTGATATGTTTTTTTGCTTTAATAGTAATTTTCTAATATTATATGGAATAAATACTGTCTCTAAATAAAACCAAATTTTCAACAATTCAAACATATTTTTTTAAATTCATATAATTAATTTCAGGTGCCGTATGAGATATTCAACAAACGGTATCGTAATGCACAGCGTGTATTGGATGTAGAGGCTCGGCAGGTTGCTACTTCAGTTAGTGACTTGGACACAACCACTAAGAAAGGGGCGACTGTCGGTGAAATAGATTCGCTGTTGGGTGGAATGGTAAAATATTATGAGATATCTGATAGTTATTTTATGTCTATGGAAATTAATATGAATGTTTATCTAATAATAGAGAGTAAATACACTTTGGACACTTGCAAAAAAAATAATTCCCAAATATGTGAACTTCTCAATGAGATTAAGTTACCAGTAATTAAATTCACCTTAAAAACTCTTAGTGTTATCATAATATGTTGTTGTTGATATCACTTATTAAATTAACCCCAAAAACTCCTAGAATTTTTGATTTCTTGTTGTTAATAGTTAATTATTTACAAATGGCAATACTACATAATCTTTAAGTTATAATAGTATATAATTAGCAAGTTATTGTTATATTAGGTAGAAAAACTAACTACTATGAAGCGTAAAGCATCGGAAGCTATAACCGAGGAGGTCCAGGCTGCGTTTGTATGTAAGAAGAGGTTGGAGCATCTTAAAGAACAGGCTGACGCACTATCAGACACAAGCGCACCACAGGCTAAGGTGTGTTGCATTTTGAATCTTTATTGTATTGTATTACAGTTATATTTCAATTGTATGTGTAGTTTATAATATATCCAAATTTTATTTGAAAGTTTAGATTTCATTTTAATATAATTTTTATCTTTTAGTTTTTTTTTCTAATCTGTTATTGGACATAATCATATAAGGAATTTAATTTTTGCAGAATCTGTTTCTATTTGTATTGCATAAAAAAAAATACTGTAAACATTGCCATATGAAAACTTAGAACAGGCGTTTAGCTAATGTAAAATTTAATATTGCCTGTGGTATGTTTTTTAATTAATAATATGTATGAGTATGAAGGTGAAGGTTTATTTATAATTATATTTTTCAGACTCAGATCAATCAGTGGCGTAAGGTACGCTTGGACAGAATGTTAGTTGATTATTTCCTTCGTAATGGTTACTATGAATCTGCTAACAAGTTGGCTGATGCTCGCGACCTTAGAGATCTCACTAATGTTGGTAAGAAAATTATTATACTCTGTGTATTTATGATAGAACTAGCTGCGCCCCGCGGTATTACCCTCAGATTTCCGGGATGTAAAGTAGCCTATGTGTTATTCCTGGACGTCAGCTTCCTGTATACAAAATTTTATCGAAATCGGTTCAGCCGCTTGAGCGTGAAGAAGTAACAAACATACACACACACTCACAAACTTTCGCAATTATAATATTAGTAGGATTGATAATTTGTTACTTTTAATTATACTCTGTGTCATCAATGTAGAATAAATCACTTGTAACTATGATAGTTAGGTGAGTTCACTACCTACCTACTACTTTTAATGCTGTTATTATGATTTGATTTGTTATACGAAAATATTGATCGGATTTTCGAGTCTATCTATACACATGCTTGTAAAAATATGTACATATTTGAATTTTCGATTCTGACAATTAAATTGATGTTTTGATTAATTTCATCTATTATTATACACATATATTAATATATGTTTCTAGTAATCGTTTATCTGTATGTACGTCAGATATCTACGCCGCAGCGTCTGAAGTAGAGTCTGAATTGTCTCTGCGTCGCACGGCCCGCTGCCTGCAGTGGTGCGCCGACAACAGGTCCAAGTTGAGGAAACTTCAACTCAACTATGGAGTTTAAGATACGGATACAGGTGGGACACTACTTACTACATACTAAAATAATAATAATAACAATAATAAAGTCATTTATTATCAATCTCCACAAAATACTTGATACAAAAATAGACTAGACTAGAATATTTAAGTTGATAATTGCTATAGTGTGATATAAGTTGCAGGTTTGGTCAATGAATATTTAATTATGTCTTATATTTTAATAGTATAAAAATATCTATATTATATAAAAAATGCAGAAGTTACTTATTTATATTACAAACTGCAAATATATCATCATATATCTACTCGATACACAAATAGACATCTTATATAAATAGACATTTGTGAGAGACTGGAGCCCGTGATTGGGTAATGGGTATAAGAATATCTGTATTACAGTTAAGTCTCCATGTAAAAAAATTAGGGTCTGTCTAGAACTAGCATAAGTTCTTTCTTGCACAGTACTTCGAAGGCAGCCCTAGTAGGTCCATTTGAGATTTGGTTAAGTATAGAAAGGTGCTTGAATTATTTGAGAGGCATAACAGCTAAATCTCTCTACAGTCTACTAAAAGACTTAGTCATATATCAGATTTTCATTCAAATTTTTTGAATGATTGTTGCTAACACTTAGTTATTTTGTTTATCATAACTATTTAATCATTATTAATTGTCTTCATATAGTTCACACATATACTTTTGACATGTGCGATATTTTGGAACAAACCATTTTATATAATTACATAGTTTTTATGTAACAAATGTCTCATTCACACATTTCGAGTGTGATAAGTTTTTTATAGTAGGTAGTGTAATTGTTGATTCAGTTTAATACAGGTGCGGGTGTCTCCCAAGGAAGTGTGATTTGGCTTATTCTATTCACCATTTTTATTAATAATGACAATATATATCAGTAGTCCCCAAACTTATTTTTCTCGTGGACCACTTTCAAAATTTTACTGGTTTCGGTGGACCCCCTGCTGCTACATTTCTACCACATTTTTAAAGTCGCCAAAAAATAAAAATTGTGTCACTTCTGAGTTCTGTCTCTATATTCCGATAGGTAAAATAAAATTTTAGAAATTTTGGAAACAAATGAATGAGTGTTTGCCTTTGGCATCAAGTATTTATAGTGGTGATCAAGTTCATGTCTGAACAAGCATTAAGCATTGTCGGGCGGATAGCGCTTTGCAAGTGTGTACACGAAATTGTACGTAATATCGAATACGCAAGTTTGGACAAGTAACAGTCGCTTGCCTTATTAAAATATTATCTGTTTAGTTAGGTACTTAAAACAATGTAGGTAGGCCCTTATAAAAACCATGCTTACATTTTTGCTCTTTACTATCAAAAGCAGATAAATTTTCGTGGACCCCCATTTTTTGTTCACGCCTACGTAAGGGATAAGGGTCACTGAGGCTCCGAACATAGAAAAGATGGCAAGCAGCTATCTGCCCATTCGCTGTTTTCGATCGCTTTCTATCGCTGTTTTTTGTAATGTTACAAACTGGAATTTGATGGGAGTTTAAGTACTGAATGTGCCATGCGGCCTCCATCGAGCACCGTCGCCGCAATCCCAGAGGAAGCTACGGCAACAGCTATTCCTTTGTCTTTTCGGATTTGGGCTAAAAGTAAATTTATTGAATAGTTTTCCTAGTGCCTCCTGGCGCATCTAAGAAAAACAATCCACCCTCACCATTATCGATTCTTTGCACAACAATATCATAAACTAATTTTTGTTCCGTGTTCAATCGAGGAACAGACTCTGATATTTGTTGCTGTAAAGAAGAGACATTATAGTCCAGTTCTCTTATAAAATCACTATTGACTTCTTCGATTTCGGTTCATTCCAAAATCTGATAATGTCTTCCCAGATATAGCCATCACTTGGTCTTGAATCTTAGTTAGCGCCTCGTTATAAACTAAATCATAATATGTGACATTGGGATTATTTTGTTGTAGTCTGTTCAAAATATAGTCAGACATATCATTTTGGAACTTTTCCCATAATATCTGAGGATTTGAGAGACCACACGTCGCTATGAGAATGGCAAAAGATCTCTCACCTTAGCTGCTGATCTACAATGTCGAGCCTCTTCTAGTGTCGAGTCCCAATGATTATTTATCATTCTCTAATTTTCATTATTATCGTTAATAAATTAATCAACTGTTAGTAAATCCACTGTTAATAAATTAATCAACTGTTAATAAATTAATCCACTGTTAGTAAATCCACTGTTAATAAATTAATCCCCTGTTAATAAATTAATCAACTGTTAATAAATTAATCAACTGTTAGTAAATCCACTGTTAATAAATTAATCCACTGTTACTAAATGAATCTACTGTTAACAAATTAATCCACTGTTAATAAATTAATCAAGTGTTAATAAATAAATCAACTGTTAGTTAATCCACTGTTAATAAATTAATCAACTGTTAGTAAATCCACTGTTAATAAATTAATCAACTGTTAATAAATTAATCAACTGTTAATTAATTAATCAACTGTTAATAAATTAATCAACTGTTAATAAATTAATCCACTGTTAATAAATTAATCAACTGTTAATAAATTAATCAACTGTTAATTAATTTATCAACTGTTAATAAATTAATCAACTGTTAGTAAATCCACTGTTAATAAATTAATCAACTGTTAGTAAATTCACTGTTAATAAATTAATCAACTGTTAATAAATTAATCAACTGTTAATTAATTAATCAACTGTTAGTAAATCCACTCTTAATAAATTAATCAACTGTTAATAAATTAATCCACTGTTAATAAATTAATCAACTGTTAATTAATTTATCAACTGTTAATTAATTTATCAACTGTTAATAAATTAATCAACTGTTAATAAATCCACTGTTAATAAATTAATCAACTGTTAATAAATTAATCCACTGTTAGTAAATCCACTGTTAATAAATTAATCCTCTGTTAATAAATTAATCAACTGTTAATAAATTAATCAACTGTTAGTAAATCCACTGTTAATAAATTAATCCACTGTAAATAAATGAATCTACTGTTAACAAATTAATCCACTGTTAATAAATTAATCAAGTGTTAATAAATTAATCAACTGTTAGTTAATCCACTGTTAATAAATTAATCAACTGTTAGTAAATCCACTGTTAATAAATTAATCAACTGTTAATAAATTAATCAACTGTTAATTAATTAATCAACTGTTAATAAATTAATCAACTGTTAATAAATTAATCCACTGTTAGTAAATCCACTGTTAATAAATTAATCCACTGTTACTAAATGAATCTACTGTTAACAAATTAATCCACTGTTAATAAATTAATCAAGTGTTAATAAATAAATCAACTGTTAGTTAATCCACTGTTAATAAATTAATCAACTGTTAGTAAATCCACTGTTAATAAATTAATCAACTGTTAATAAATTAATCAACTGTTAATAAATTAATCCACTGTTAGTAAATCCACTGTTAATAAATTAATCCTCTGTTAATAAATTAATCAACTGTTAATAAATTAATCAACTGTTAATAAATTAATCAACTGTTAATAAATTAATCCACTGTTAATAAATTAATCAACTGTTAATAAATTAATCAACTGTTAATTAATTTATCAACTGTTAATAAATTAATCAACTGTTAGTAAATCCACTGTTAATAAATTAATCAACTGTTAGTAAATTCACTGTTAATAAATTATTCAACTGTTAATAAATTAATCAACTGTTAATTAATTAATCAACTGTTAGTAAATCCACTGTTAATAAATTATTCAACTGTTAATAAATTAATCAACTGTTAATTAATTAATCAACTGTTAGTAAATCCACTGTTAATAAATTAATCAACTGTTAATTAATTAATCAACTGTTAATAAATTAATCAACTGTTAATAAATTAATCCACTGTTAATAAATTAATCAACTGTTAATTAATTTATCAACTGTTAATAAATTAATCAACTGTTAATAAATTAATCCACTGTTAGTAAATCCACTGTTAATAAATTAATCCACTGTTACTAAATGAATCTACTGTTAACAAATTAATCCACTGTTAATAAATTAATCAAGTGTTAATAAATAAATCAACTGTTAGTTAATCCACTGTTAATAAATTAATCAACTGTTAGTAAATCCACTGTTAATAAATTAATCAACTGTTAATAAATTAATCAACTGTTAATAAATTAATCCACTGTTAGTAAATCCACTGTTAATAAATTAATCAACTGTTAGTAAATCCACTGTTAATAAATTAATCAACTGTTAATAAATTAATCAACTGTTAATTAATTAATCAACTGTTAATAAATTAATCAACTGTTAATAAATTAATCCACTGTTAGTAAATCCACTGTTAATAAATTAATCCACTGTTAGTAAATCCACTGTTAATAAATTAATCCACTGTTACTAAATGAATCTACTGTTAACAAATTAATCCACTGTTAATAAATTAATCAAGTGTTAATAAATAAATCAACTGTTAGTTAATCCACTGTTAATAAATTAATCAACTGTTAGTAAATCCACTGTTAATAAATTAATCAACTGTTAATTAATTAATCAACTGTTAATAAATTAATCAACTGTTAATAAATTAATCCACTGTTAATAAATTAATCAACTGTTAATTAATTTATCAACTGTTAATAAATTAATCAACTGTTAGTAAATTCACTGTTAATAAATTATTCAACTGTTAATAAATTAATCAACTGTTAATTAATTAATCAACTGTTAGTAAATCCACTGTTAATAAATTAATCAACTGTTAATTAATTAATCAACTGTTAATAAATTAATCAACTGTTAATAAATTAATCCACTGTTAATAAATTAATCAACTGTTAATTAATTTATCAACTGTTAATAAATTAATCAACTGTTAGTAAATCCACTGTTAATAAATTAATCAACTGTTAATAAATCCACTGTTAATAAATTAATCAACTGTTAATAAATTAATCAACTGGTAGTAAATCCACTGTTAATAAATTAATCAACTGTTAATTAATTAATCAACTGTTAGTAAATCCTCTGTTAATAAATTAATCAACTGTTAATAAATTAATCAACTGTTAGTAAAACCACTGTTAATAAATTAATCAACTGTTAATAAATTAATCCTCTGTTAATAAATTAATCCTCTGTTAATAAATTAATCCACTGTTTACTAATAAACTAATTAAAACCTATTCACTTGTCCTTAGAAGTTAGAAAGACAAATGACAATATTTAATAATAATAAAATGGCGAAAAAATTATATGAACAGTTTACCGACCAATCAGAGAGCCCCGTTTCATTAGTAAGTTGTCAAATCTAATGTCGAAAAAAAACGTTTGTAATAAAACAACTACTAATAAATTAAAAATTAATGAAAAAAAAATTTTGTCCAGCGGACAAAATTGTGAATCTAGATTATATATGAAAGAAATATTCTTTGATAACAGTGATAATTTATATGTAGACAATTTGTAATTATGTTTACATCATAATTGTTTAGTAACTCTACATTTTCTTTCTCAAATGTTGACTCTAGTTAGATTGTAAAGGATTCTATAGAAATAGAAATAGTTCTATTTGAACTACAAGATTCCTTTACTTTATCTTAATATTGTATGAAATGTAAAAAAAAAGAAATACATTTTAGTTGGTGTTTGTCATTCTTGTATCTATTCAAAAAACAAATATATAAATACATTTAAGACTTATAGCATCTTCTCCTTTAACATTAATTAAGATTTCTTAATTTTCATATAAGAAAAAGTTCGCTTCATACAATATTATTAAGAGCATCTCTAATTGCACAATTATTACCTGCTGTATACACTTTTCTTATAGAAATAAGCCCGCCATTGTGAACAATAATTCTGTTTGTAAAATAACCATGTAAATTTTATAGTGCAATAAAGAGTATATACAGGGTGGGCCATGAATTAGTTAACATTTGAAATAATCATTAAAAAAAAAACTATTTGAAAAAATTTAAAAATTGCTTTATTAAAAGAAAGCTAATTAGTTGGAAATTATTTTTAAAAAATCATATCATCTAAATGACCACCATTTCGATTTTTACACTCTTCTAAGCGAGTAACGAAATTTTCGAATACTCGTCCGCACAGAGACCGTGAGATCGTCGATATCTTTTCGCTGATTTTTTCTTTTAGTTGACGTAGTGTATTTGGTTTATCGATGTAGACACGACTCTTTAAATAACCCCATAAAAAGAAGTCAGCTGGGGATAGATCTGGACTTCTGGGTGGCCATGGAATGTCACCTCGTCTGGAAATCAGCCTTTTCGGAAACATTTCTTTAACCACCGGCAGGGATTCGTTGGATGTGTGACAAGTGGCTCCATCTTGTTGAAACCATGTGTTACGATTGTAGTCAGAAAATTCCAGTAGCATCGGTGCCAAAAACTCCCATAACATTTTCACATACCGAGTAGAATTAACAGTAACTGAACGGCCGTGAGAATCTTCAAAAAAGTAGGTTCAATTATTCCTTTTGCTGAAATTGCAGCCCATACAGTTATCTTTGGAGAATGAAGTGGCCTTTCGTGTTTAGCTTTAGGATTGTCACTGCTCTAATATGTGCAATTCTGTTTGTTTACATGTCCGTTAAGATGAAAATGGGCTTCGTCAGAAAATAAGAGGTTCTCAAAATTACTGAATCGATCTAGCAGTTTCAGCATAGGACTTGCGTAAATTTAAATCATTAGGTTTTAGTTCCTGCACCAATTGGATCTTATACGGATGCAATTTCAAATCTAACTTCAAAATACGGCGTTACGATGTGCGGGATAATCCTAATTCAGCCGAACGTTAGCGCGTCGATAAACCTGGATCACGTCGAACAGAAGCAGAAACTTGCTGTACGTTCTCTTCGCTCCGAGAAGTCCGTAGGCCGCGGGTTTGCTTTACATTTAGTGTAGATCCCGTCTCTTCGAACTTCTTCACCCATTTCTTTATTAAAGGACCACTCGGACACTGACTTAAGTCGTGTAAATCATATTCACCACGAAATAAGCGTCTCACAGTAATAAGCGAATTGTTGTTTAAATAAAATTGTTTCAGACAGTAAGCGCGCTGCGGCCCCGTGAAGCAATCCATTGCTACAAAATTTCCGAGAAACGAGCTAGTGACAAGACCCCTCCCCGCGCCCCGCGCGGCATTTATTTACGTAGGGTATTAGATTCAAATGTTAACGAATTCTTGGCCCACCCTGTATAATACTAGCTTTTGCCGCGGCTTCGTCCGCGTGGAATAGTTACTTCCGACAGATTTTTGGTTCTTCCGACATAGTTCCCGTTCTTGAAGGGGTTTTCGGAATGGTCGAGTTCCCGTAGAATTTTCAGGATAAAACCTATGTTTTTTCAAAATTAATAATGAAGTACTCTTAACCAACAACATATTTATTTTTTTATTTGAATAAAGATTAATATTATTATGTTGATACAACTTAAACAAATTATTTCGACAAAATTAGGTACCATAAAAACGGTTTTTGTGAGTTAATCTTAAAAGATAGACATATACTGTCGCAGACTGTTTTTTAGATCATTAAAAGAGCTATTATTCTTTAACACATATTTTTTGTGTATCTTGAACCGTTTTCACGGCGCACGCAACTGAAGGCTTCAAAGATGAAATAATTTCTCCCGTTTTTTACACATTTACCACTATACCTTTGCTCCTATTGGTCGTAGCGTGATGTTATATAGCCCACAGCCTTCCTCGATAACTGGACTATCCAACACAAAAAGAATTATTCAATTCGAACCAGTATTTTCGGAGATTAGCGCTTTCAAACAAACAAACAAACTCTTCAGCTTTATTATATTAGTATAGATTGTTGATAGTATTTATTGTTTAAATGATGATGTGTTGTTTCCAGGAGTTCATAGAGCTTGTCCGTGAAGACAGACGCCTGGAGGCCGTGAGGTACGCCAAGAAACACTTCTCAACCTATGAGGACGGCCAGCTGGAGGACATACAACACTGTATGGGCATGCTCGCCTTCCCTAAGGACACAGGTCATTACATATAGCCATTTATTGATACTATAGATTAATACTACTAAAGAAACTACTATATAAAGACTATGATAAGAATATTTATTGATTTCAAAGAACTTACTTATATTTTTTTAGTTTTTTTGGGGATTTACATATTTTAAAATTCAATTTTATTTGACTCTGTTTCTATATCATTATTATTTAATTCATGTTAAACATTTCTTGATTTACTTTAAGATTTTTAGATTTTTAATGTTAATAAATTATATAAAAAATGTTAAAGTAATTAAAAATGTCAGATCATATCGACTGTAATATAAATCATTATGTGTCATTATACTTCATACAGTACAGACACAATTATATAAACTTTACATCAACTGCCTGAGCCTCATTACAAATACATATTAACAAAGAGAAAAGAGTTCTGCAGTACTATTAATTATATGAAGTTTATTAAGATTCATTGAAACTATACAACAAAGTTCAAAATACCAGACTTTACATTAAAATATTATATAATAAAGTATCATTAATGTATACCTCTGTGTATTGTATTAGAGGTGGAGCCATACCAGTCGCTGCTAGGATCGTGGCGCTGGGACGCGCTGGTCGCTCAGTTCCGATGGGAACACGCGCGACTGTTGCACCCGGCGCGCCTCCCGGCTTTGCCTGTAACGCTACAACTGGGACTGGCCGCGTTAAATACGCCATATCCTTTGAATATAACTACACACACTCACACACATATACATACAAATACACATACACACATATACATACATGTATATGTATATAGTGCCGATCATTAAACTGCAAGATATTACAAAATTTTATTGCTGTCAATGTCAAATTATCATAATACTTAATATGTGATATGTAGTTTCGTGTCACAGACGACAGATGGCGCTGACTGTCGGTTAACATATCTATTAAGTTGTTATTATTTTGTGTGATCACATTGTCGAAAATAGACACACGAGCAGTAGCTCAGTAGTAATCAACCGATATTTAATACTCCAAAGTCATAATATATTTTAAGGTGGTAGAGCCTGGCTGTAGTCAAGTAACTACAGCTCGAACATGGGTTGGCTCGACCAGGGAAGTACCACCTCTCACAGAAGATCGGCGTGAAGTAGTCTTTAATGGCTGTGTTTCGTCCGATGAGTGAGAGAGTCGATTGCCGTTTCCCTATTCCCTCCATTCCCTGCTATTCCTTATCCCCACCCCTCCCTTTCCTCAACAATTAAGTTTGGCAACGCATCCGTAACATCTATGTAGCGGATATCCATGGACGACAGTCACTACTGCCCATCTATTTGGCCGTCTGCTCATTGCCACCTTTGACATAAAAAAATTATATATATGCTTCCTTAACCCGGCCCCCACTCAGTGCTACAAGGACAGCACCAAGGTCCCCACGTGTCCGTCGTGCTCCCCGCCGCTGAACGCTCTGGCCCGCACGCTGCCGCACGCGCACGTGTCGCACTCGCGGCTCGTGTGCCGCTTGTCGCGCCTGCCGCTCAACGAACACAACCAGCCCATGGTGCTGCCCAACGGACAGGTCTATGGGGAGAAGGTCATACACACACACACACACTAATTACTTGTTAGATAGTAGATTAGCTAAGTTTGTAGTTACAGTACTCGTAAACGTTCTGTTGAGCCAAGTTCATAGTTACAGTGGTCATCATATTATTGAGTCAAGTTATTAGTTACAGTAGTTGCAAACATCTTACTGACCCAGGTGTCTAGTTACAGTAGTCGTTTTCATTTAATTGGGCCAAGTTCATAGTTACAGTGGTAGTGATCTTACTGAGAGAATTTCTTAGTCATAATTATCTTATTGGACCAAATTCATAGTTAAAGCCTAAAGGTGTCTTAATCATTTTACGGACCCAAGTTACTATTTATAGTAGCCATCATCATCTTATTGGGCCTAGTTTTTAGTTACAATAGTTGTAATTATCTTATTGAGCCAAGTTCTTAGTGATAGTAGTAGCAAACATCTTTTTGAGCTATGTTCCTAGTTGCCGTAGTCACATACATTTTACTAACTCAAGTTATTAGTTATCGTAGTCATAAATTTTATAATTAACCTTTGTGACTATTACAGGAATCATGAAAAACTTAATTAAAATTATGTCTAATTTCAGTACATAAATGAATTATTAAATTATTTTTCCAGGCTCTGAAGGAAATGATGAAGGAGCATGGATCCATTATATGTCCGAAGACAAAGGAAGTGTTCTGTATGAAGCGCGTCGAGAAAGTATACGTCATGTAGACCCGCCCTAACATTGTGTTATAACGTGTGTACTCACCCTTATTATTTGTATTCGTTTTAAATTTAAGGCTGTGGAAAACGGATGTTATATAAGGTTCATTAAATTAATAAATTTGATTTTTCTGACGTCCATCATGTTTCCATTCTTATATTTTCATAGTGAATCTCGCGTGCAACATTAGTCTAGGTTTTTGTAATGTACCTTCAAATTTTTTCCCCGATGAGTCCGTTTTAAACATCATAAAGATCAGTTGTCTTGTAAACCTTTACATAAGTTTTTCATCTATGAAATAAACATTATTAATTACATTGTGTTTTATTCATTTCTATATATTAATAGTGTAATTTAATAACTTCCTCCTTATACAGGGTGACTGGTGAATTACTATCGATATTTGAGGACGTGATATTTGACGGTCATATATGACAAAATAAAAATTAATATAACATAAATATTAATAAACTTCTAAGTAAAGTTAACCAAAAGTTATGTAATTAATTACGCATCGTATGAACACCCTACAGATTAGGTATACACACACACACACACACTCGAGCGCGGCGGCGTGTTGTTGTATCAGCACGCCGCCGGACGCGTACTCACTTGGAACACTTGGAACGTGTCAACACTTTATTTATTTATACGGAAATTTGGTCAAAAATTAAGTGCCTATTTTTTTTACATAATTCGAATGAGAATCATGTACTGAGTATGCTCCTTAAATATTGATAGTAATTCACCAGTCACCCTGTATAGAGAAATTTTAGCATTTTTAATATTTGTGTTAGAATTTAAAATCTATTTAATTATATAAATAAGGTTTAATATATTGTATTTAATCAATTTCTCTTCTTCTTAAAATCCTGTAGTTACCTAAATCAAGTAAAACAATAGATTTTTATGTACATTTTATTGTTTTAACATTTCTCATAAAATATGATAGGATAAAATACTTATAAATGGCCGTTACTATCACACATGTAATGATTATAAAAATAAAATCTAGACACGATATTAATTGTATAATAAATGCTTCATTAACACCACTAATATGTGCCTTTGGACTTGTACCATTTATATTTACACAACTTATTATTACAACATTATCACAATGTATCCTTTGAACTATATACAATGTTTGTATTCTTTTATAACTAAATTCACATTCTGACTAATAAAATGACTAAATGAAGGAAACTATAATAATTATTGTAACTTATAAATTTCTGTTTTTAACTACCGCAGTAATACAAAGCATTTGTATGTGCTTATATTAATAATGTGCTATAAAATATAATTAATCGAGGAACTAATGTATTGCTTATATATTTCTGTATACAGGGTGTTATATTGATCTGAGTATTGTGTACATTATGTACTTAAACTAAGATTTAAACATATAATACTTGTTCCTCCGACGCGAGGCACTTTACATTCATTATATATTAATGAATTAATGATATTAACATTACAATGAACGTGATTATATATCGTCGTGGATAGTGCAAATCTTCGTAACTAGTTTTGTATAAGTCCACGTATCTACATTGAAAGTTGATTATCAGAAGAAAGTTTAAGCTGAAATATTTTTATATTAACAATTTCTAAGGTATTTTTTCACAATGACTAATAAATCAATTACTAAATAACTCATTGTTAACAAATTACTTTAACGTCATTAAATTCAGAATATTTTTTACTTTCCAACTTCCTCTTTAAAACTATATCATAAGCAGATACGCGGATTTATACGTGGATTTGCACTATACCAGATGATATCTGTTTGATCGAATGTGTATGTATATACATATATGTGTGTGTTTGTGTATGTTTGTTCATCCACAGTAGTGGTTAAGCCCAGCCATAAGCGCCACTCCCGCCAGTAGCGCAGCCAGATGCTTGGCAGACTCTGCCAGTTCGTTTTCCCGGAGTAGATCGGGCAGAACCGTCACTAGCGCTATGTGTAGGAACCCGCCCGCTGTGAACGGGGCTATCCATGATGTACGGGCCTCTGAAATATATATAGAATGATATAATATATATATCCTACTAATCTACTAATATTATAATTGCCAAAGTTTGTAAGTGTGTGTGTGTATGTTTGTTACTTCTTCACGTTCAAACGGCTAAACCGATTTTGATAAAATAATGTATACAAGAAGCTGACGTCCAGGAGTAACACATAGGCTACTTTACATCCCGGAAATCCGCGGGTAACACCGCGGGGCGCAGCTAGGATGTTATTAATGTTATTGGTGGACGTACCTATGTTTAGGAAACTACGGAATTAATTTCTTCTGGAAAACATAGAATAACGTATGTTTTATATATACGCTTGATGGATATATGTTAAGGAAATTGTAAAATAAATTTTGATGAAACTTAACTGTAATGTAGATTAAATATTACTGTATAGAATAAGTTCTAGCAGGTTCATAACAACAGACGTACTCATTGAAATGAAATATGTGAGACGATAAGTTTTGTAGTTAATTAACTGTTCATACACTTATTGTATGTACTATATAGTACACATTATGTTGTATATTAAATATTAACACAATATAGAGTTCAAAAATACTCTCAGATAGTTTAATAATAGTATATATATATTACCAATAGCGTTGCTAGCTCCACTAAACACAACCGCTGTCATAGCTCCCACCAGGCCGGCCGCGGCTGTCGCCTTACAATAAAAAAAACACTCATATATAAAACATATTAATAATTATAATTCTAATCTCATCAAACACATGAAATATTTGTGATAAATTAACTAAATAACATTTTTTATTATTATATTATGTGAAAGGAGGTGAATGAACAAACAGCCTACAAAATGGGAAATATTGACCGTCGCCCATAGACATCTACATCATAACACATGCCGACTTTGATTGTTGAGGAAGAGGGAGGGGATAGTATGGGAAAGAGATAGAGTAACTGTATCCCTCACTCATAATACAAAACGCAGCCATTAAAGACTGCTACTACTACTTCCGATCTCCTGTGAGAGGGTGGTACTTCCTCAGTCGAGCCAGCCCATATATTTCTTTTTTTTTTTAGGTTAGAGATCTTTATTTTCCAAAAAAGACACAAAGTCACTTACATGGAAACAAAAAATTCAAGTATGTAATATTAAATGTCGTTCTTAAGATATAATTACATAACGAGTTGTTTTTTTCGTCTATATAAGGAGTGTTATGTTTAGTTATCATATATATATAATATGTATAATACTCACAAGTTGCGCCTTGGCCGCCTCCCACCTAGAAAAGCCGCTCTTCAGTAATATGGCGAAGTCACCCACCTCGTGAGGAATCTCATGCACTGAAATTATATATAAATAGTATATTATATTTATGTATATATACATATTATTCAAGTCTTTAAAATGATTATATATTATTTTAATAAAACATCCTTATTATGTGAATAAATTAAAATGAATAGTCTTTTATTATTTTTAATTTTAAGATATATTTATATATTTTTGAAGTTTCTTGGTTTATAATATAAGTAACTTCTGCATGTTTAATATAATATATATATTTTTATACTATTAGTATTGACATTAAATTAGCATTGATTAATTGAATTTAATTGATTCATTGAAAATATAAGACATATAATTAAATAGTTATTGACTCGAACCTGCTATTTATACCACACTATAGGTTTACTATAGCAATTTTCAACTTAAATCTAACTGTAAAATATTAATTTCATAATTATTTTCCTCTATATATCTATATTTATTTTATTTGATCATTGACCTTATACATATACCATAAAGTATAATAAAATATTAGATAAAGTTATCTATCACAGAAGTTGACTTATCACATTTTTACTATGCAGTAACTTTACAGAATTCTCTTATAAATTACATCCTATGTTCTATTCTGATGTCTAAACTACATAGCTGTAAAGTTCAATCAAAATTTATTCAATAATTATTAATTTACCCAGTAACATACATTTTCATATTTAAATATATATATTATTTTTATTTATGTTATAATCTAACCGAGTATAGCGAAGGTAGTTAGCAGGCCGACTCTGAATCCCACAAGGAAGGACCCGCCGACAGCCAGGCCGTGTGTGAAGTTGTCTATGGAGTTTGCCATTAGGTTCAAATAACCAGCAACCTATAGACAGACATACATACATATATAATATGACGTACATACACTATGTATATGTAGTAAGAAATTTCTAAATATATATATGTGTGTATAGAAGTAGTGTATAAAGGAATGCTGACTGACTTTTCGGTTCTATGTCATGAAGGTGACATTTATTAATTTTAGTTCTTAATACAATTATGTATAAGGATAATACTCTGTAAATAGTTTAGTTATTGTACTGGTGTTTGCATTATTATTTTGTTCCTTGATTTACATTTTATATTTGTTCATTTTAATTAAACTCTCTCTGTTATATATCAGTTTGATATTTTCTTTTTGAAAAAGTTGAATGTAATTTTTATTAGTCAAACCTACATTAGTTTTGAATGAATTCATTAAAATATAAAAATTTTCACTTTTATACCCCCTTTACTCAATTGTGAGAGGGGGGTTTACAAAAACCCGTTCTTAGTAATAGCCTATCACTCATAAAAAACAAACCAAATCTCATCTCTCTACAACCAGTAGTATAAGCTATACATTATCAGTCAGTAATAAATAGGTGTCTGTGTGTGTGTGTCTGTCTGTGTGTGTGTGTAAGTGTGTGTGTGTGTGTGTGTGTATTACATCTTTCTTGTCGTTCTTCTGTTTGTTCATCAGAGTCTTCTCGCGCGCCTCTCTCAGCAGACAGCGGCCCATCCACCTTGAACCCTTGTAGCCACAGCTGGACACACCGCTGCAACATACTGGATCACCTGAAAATATACAAACAATATATATACATATATTGAAATAATAAAGATTCTAACACTATAAAAAAAAAAAATTTTTTTTTGCCCTAATAATTATTAAATTGCATTGAAATATACTTTCAAATCTAAGAGCTGTTACACAAATTGTATTGATATTATGACATTCTTTCAATATATTCCATTGTGTGCAGTTTTATTCTCTATATAAGACCCCTTCATACAGCCTTTTGTTTGTATGTAACTTTATTATCTATATTAAACCCCTTGTATATTTTCAAATATGACATTCCAGTGTGTGTGAAGTCTTATCATGTATATTAGACCCTGTTACATAACCTACTTTTTGTATCATCTAATAAGATATTCCAGTGTGTGCAACCTTATAATATCTATATAACACTTGTATACACATACCTTTAGTATTATTATTGAACACGCAAGTCTCCATCATCTGTCTGTCGGTCATTGACCCGTTCTTCTGTTTCTTCTGTGCTTGTAATAACAGCTCAATGTCTTCTATCTCCACGGCCTCGACCTTATGTTCCTCTTCCTCGGAGCTGGCGAACAGCTTCTCAACTATCACGAACACCAGCATACCAACGAGCACCCATATACCACATCTCATAGATACCTCGCCACCTGAAAATTATTGAACTCACTGAGCTATTGTGAAATGGTGTGGTGGGTGATTTTAATGGAGCTAAAGAAATTATATTATATTTAAGTGTAAATTATATATATACTAGCTGCATCCCGCGGTGTTACCTATATACTAAGTAGCCTATATATTACTCCTGGACGTCAGATTCCTGTATACAAAATTTTATCAAAATCAGTTGAGCCGTTTAAGCGTGAAGAAGTAGCAACATACACACACACTCATAAACTTTCACAATTATAATATTAGTAGGATATATTTTCCTAATAAGCTTAATATAATTAAATTAATCACACGATAATACCTATATACAGTCTATTACTATGAGTCATACATTTTTAATGAGCCAATAGTATGAGAAAAAAGTATTTTATTAGAATTTAATAGGAATTTCTGTAATAAAAACTCTTTAGAGAATAAAAAAGAGGTTTTATGAAAAAAATATATATAAAAAAATGTTCCAAAATATGTTTTTAATTTAACAATTACATTTCCTTATAGTAAACAGTAATCTTCAACATGTAAACAGGCGTAGTTTATAATCGCTCGGAACACATAACCTCCACACAAAACAATCAAATATCAACTCTATGAACATCAATTAATATTTAATTTCCTTTGTATTTAACACATCGTTTGGAACACAAAACCTCAACCTGTTAAAATTGTGTCGATAAAAAGTATAGAAGTCACAGGGTTTTATAATTATTGATAATTTAATTTTTTCTTTATATATCATAATGGCATATGAATCATATTATTGTAATAAATATTGTTTATTACGGTACGTGATTAGTGAGGCGATGTCCTCTCTGCTATATTTATAGATCTATGTACTATTTATTATATCACAGCGTTTGTTAATGACATTGACGAACGGTGAATTAATTTTTAAGTATATTAACAAATGTATAGAATGTGTTAAATAATATTAATTTATTTATATACATAGTTTCCGAATAATTTATTTTGATTACGTCACACTTAAATAGGATTAACATATAAAAAACGTGTCTGATTTATGTATTATACAGGGTGACTGGTGAATTACTATCGATATTTGAGGACATGATATTTGACGATCATATATGACAAAATAAAAATTAATATAACATAAATATTAATAAACTTCTCAGTAAAGTTAACCAAAAGTTATCTTATTAATTACGCATCGTGTGAACACCCTACAGATTAGGTATACACACACACACGTGTGGCGGCGTGGTGTTGTATCAGCACGCCGCCGCAAGCGTCCACACATGGAACACTTGGAAGTTGGAACGTGTACACACTTTATTTATTTATACGGAAATTTGGTCAAAAATTAAGTGCCTATTTTTTTTACATAATTCAAATGAGAATCATGTACCGAGTATTCTCCTTAAATATTGATAGTAATTCACCAGTCACCCTGTATATATTAAACTATTAATTCGATTTCGATAATTATATGATTTTTTTATTAACTGTGATATAAGGAATTCTATGAATTTAAACTTAGTCAAAACAAACATGGATAATAAAATTCGATACATTTAATTGCAGATATAAACGGAAACAAACAAACATAGAAAAATGATCTTTATATTAATGTATTATAGAGATGATTTTTATATAAATTCCTACCTTTACTATTCATCATATCATGATGCCATGCTTCAGGCAGCAGATGAAGGAACACATCTCCAAGTAGACCGCCCACCGCGAAACTCAATAAGATACGAAGAGTTGCAGCACCAGCTGGAAAAATAACACCTGGAATTACTATCACTAATATGGTGATATTAAAGAAAATAAACTTTCATTTGGGTCAAATGAAACTAATTTGAGAGGCATAACGGCTAAATCTACAACCTACTAAAAGACTTAGGCCTGTCCAGAACTAATATTAATGAATTCTCGGAATGTACATCGTAGGCAGCCGTAGTAGATTCTTTTTAAATTTAGTTAGGTAGACAAAGGAGGTTGGACGGTGGAGGTGAGCGTATAATTCGCGTTAGTTAAGGAGCACCTTAAACCTACACCTGGGTCACAAGTCCCAGTCACTGTTGAAGCTCCTCTCACTACAACGATGGACCCGACACACGCACCGTGAATACATTGAATGATGAGAAGTTTCATCTCAATATACTCCCGACGTTTCCATTACTTTGCAGCAACCGTGATCACATCTCAAAGTAATCTAAACGTCGTCAATATTTTGTTTACAATAATGAAATAAGGTTTCTGAAAATATTAATAAGGTAATCTGAAAATATTAGTAACATTTAAACGAATACTCGCGAAAATCTTAATCTCATCATTTGAATTAAATTTAAAAATTCATGGAACCGATCTGGTTTCAAACCTACGATTTCCTGAACATTAAGTTCAAGTATAATATGTAATAATAATAATAATATAAAAAATAATAATATCATTTATCATTAAACATTATTTTGAAGTTCGTCATTTGTTAATCTTCGGATTAATTTTGAAACGTTTTGACTGTAGGTAACAAGTTAACTATGGACTCGTATTAAGAGGAAAATCGGTCTATTTATCGAATTTTAAATAAATTAATTGGTAAATTTAGTCCAAACAAGTATTATATGATATAATAGTGAGAGGAATAGATAATGCTTTATTTATCAAGATGATGTATTTGTATTATTGTACATATATGTAACTATATAATATTCTTCAGAGTATTCACTGATAAATATTTTATATATAAATTGTAACTATCATCTTATTTACTATATTGTTTTGATATAAAAATATATTATGTACATTGACCTATAATATCACGTGTTTTCTTTAGTACTTCCAAAGTAAAGTATGTGTCCGTCTTGTCTTTGTAGTATTTAATGACTTCTCTTTAACCGAATTGGGTTTTTGAATTATTTTTTTTTTTGTGATAAATGGAAAGATCATATATAAGTTTAATAACAAAACTATTTTTATTTTATTTTTTTTTGCAATATTTAAAAAGTTATTTCAAAATAAAAATTAAATTTTAAATTCAGTACCGAAGACAAGCCGACAGCTCGTGAATAAACCCGAGCGCGTGTGACGTCACAATGTTAGTTTTTGCTCATTGTAGCATACAGAGATATAATAATTAGTACAGTGTTTTGAGTTTTTATCTAGTAAATTCTGTTGGCATTGTTAAATAATCAAAAGTTTTGTACCATTATGTACAAAGACTACAAAAACAACTCCTGAAAAAATGTTTTTAAATGTTCCACAAGACGAAAAACGTCGAAAGAAATGGTTTCAAGCAGTGCATCGAGATTATTCAAAAACAAAATCATTTTTTTTTTGTTGTGAAGATCATTTCGTTGTAAGTTTTCATAATAGTATTGTTATTAATTATTATTTATCTAAGTGTATAAATCGAATAAGTATAGTTCAATATTAATTTTTTTACCTGGGCTCCAAATCATAACCTTTAGAATCGTAGCATTAAAAAATTTTAATTGATAATTCAAAGCGATTAAATAGTAAATCTATATATATGTTTGTCTAATAATTGGACTTCAATTAATAGATATTTTCATAATTTTATAACATTCTAGGTTCTGTATCAGACTACATTTAAATTTTTAAAGTACATATATGTTATTTTGGTTTTTTTTATAATGTTATAATAACATTTTATTAATAATGATTTAATGAAATAATTATTAATTATATTTAATAGAGAATAAATACTAATTTTCATTTAGAATAGTATTTTTTGACAGACTTACCTTGATGTCTTAGCACCTCGAACTTCAGCAAAATTAAACCGCACTTTTTAAAAAATTAGTTATCATAAAAATATATTAACATCAGGAATATTATCCGATTTTGCTTTTATAAATCCTTTATCACACATAGTCGAAATAAACTTTTCAAATCGTTTTTCACTAATAAATTTGAGATATTTTTATCAAGTTAAAGATAATAGCCATAAACACTGTACTATTATGAAATTGCTTTAACATTATGACGTCACAAGTATGCTGACCAATCATGGCGCGTTTACAGTCACGTGATATATTTTTGAATTTTATCAATTTTTAATTGTTTATAATTAATTTAAAAAATATATTTCAAGTTTTTTGCATTAAAAATCCAATATAATTAATAATAAAGTTTTAAAATACATAAAAAAAATCAATACTTTTTTTTTTTCAAAAACCCAATTTGTATGTGATATTTAAATAATTATTATATATTGCAAAACTTAAGCGGTTTAAAACTACATAGAGGAGAGTTGGTTATATCGTACTAGCATTTAAATCGTACCACTTCTAAATTTCCCATTTAATGAATATTTTTTTCTTTACTGACAACGCCAAATCGTAGCTCTGCACCATCCCTCTTCACCCACTAGTTTAAATCTATACCGAGATAACTCGTAATCAAGGTAAGCTATAGTTATTCAGTTTTTTTTATTATTCCACAATTGTATACTAGATTATTGGGGGTTTTTGTTGCATGTCTAAGTTTTGAGTTTATGCCGGATATTTGCTTTTGTTTTAGAAATGCCTTAGTTGGTTTAATCGTACCACTTGCAGTTGGTTAAATTGTACTGATACGATTTATCCGACTACCAACCGCAAGTACCTAGTACTACCGCAAGTACGTATAGTAAGTACTACCCAAGGCCAAAAACAAAAGTTATAAGAGGAAACGATCTCATTCCATCACCAGTAGCGATGATTCAGGAGAGACACTTGTTGTAGAACTAGATGATGATGATGACAGCGATGATTATCTTGAAAATATATGTCGAAAGTGCAATTGTTCTTACTATGATAAGAAGGGTCCAAAAGTTTATTGGATTCAATGCGTTCGCTGTAAACGGTGGCTACATGAGACGTGTACTTCGAATCCAGACACTTGTCATGATTGTTTCCATTAAGATATATGCACAATAATTATTATATTACAAATAACATTCTGGTTAAATGTTACTTTATTATAATAGTTTACTGTTTTTTTTTGTCTCATTTTTATTAGTAATGTTGATTGATCTCATTATCATAGTATAATCATGTTATTTTACTGAGAAAACTTATAGTTCCTTTATATAACCTAAGAGTTAAAAATTATGTTTCTATTACCTAAAAGACATAATAATGTTGTTTTATTGCTTACCTAAGAGCTAAAAATAAATAATTAGATTGAGAATTTTAATGTCTTTCATTCAGTGGTACGACTTACACGCCCATGGTACGATTTAAAGACTTAGTGGTACGATTAAAACGACTAGTCGGCTAAATCGTACCGAGGGCAAGCCTCTATAAAAAAGCATTTTTGACAATGTTAGAATAATGGCACGGATCTATTCTCTTCTCCTTAGGAAGCTAAAATAAGAAACTTTATTTTACATATGTATTAATTATTATAAGACGTGTTATAGTCGAAATATTTGAGTTAAAGTGAAAAGTGGTACGATATATCCGACTCTCCCCTACTTATAAGAAACTAGCTTTCCGCCCGCAGCTTCGCCGCGTGGAGTTCGGTTATATCGCGTTTCCAAGAGAACCTTTCAAAAGTCTGGGATAAAAACTATCCTATGTTCTTTCTCAAGGTCAACTCTATCTCTGTACCGAATTTCATTAAAATCAGTTCAGTGGTTTAGGCGTGAAAGCGTAGCAGACAGACAGACAGACAGACAGACAGAGTTACTTTCGCATTTATAATATTAATAGTAGGGATACGATGCATCCACGATAAGTTCCACATATTAATCAGAGACTGCTCTGAACATTTCTCGTTTGTAATATACAGGGTGACTGGTGAATTACTATCGATACTTGAGGACGTGATATTTGACGATCATATATGACAAAATAAAAATTAATATAACACAAATATTAATAAACTTCTAAGTAAAGTTAACCAAAAGTTACGTAATTAATTACGCATCGTGTGAACACCCTACAGATTAGGTATACACACACACTCACACACACGCGTGCGGCGGCGTGGTGTTGTATCAGCACGCCACCGCACGCGTTCACACTTGGAACACTTGGAACGTGTTCACACTTTATTTATTTATACGGAAATTTGGTCAAAAATTAAGTACCTATTTTTTTTTACATAATTCGAATGAGAATCATGTACCGAGTATTCTCCTTAAATATTGATAGTAATTCACCAGTCACCCTGTATATATTTATTTATGTGTTAGGAAATAATTTTAAAAATATATAACTATTAAAATTAAATAAAGATAAATACATACAGATATTAATTGTAATGATTTCTTGTTAACGAGATATTAATAATAATCGATTAATCAATCATATATTAATTACTATGTATATTGATTCTTGTTTATATATATTAATTATAAATAAAAATAATATTATGTATATACTAATAATATAAAGCTGTAGAGTTTGTTTGTTCTCTCTCAGGAACTACTGACCTAATTTCAAAGATGTTGTTCATTTTTGGCTTATCCATTTATAAAAAAAGGCTGTGGGGTATTTTTTATTACTGAAGTAAAGCTCCGTAAGAAAATTACTACTATGTAACCTTAGTTGTAAAAATTAATAAGACTTACTTATGTCTTCGCGACAAAAACTATTGAAAATTCAAACAAATAATGTACAACGTGTTTTTAAGTCCATTAGAATTAGTAAAAACTAAAAAGTGCTCTAGAGCACATATCTAACCGTCATAGTTTAGTTACAATATCCTTTTTTTGTCTTCAAAAGAATTATTAAATCGCCCGAAGAAAATAACTACGTTAA